AATCTTGGTTTGACATGAAAGGAGAGTGGTGGGTCTGGGGGTTTGCCGGTGACTGGGGATTCCGGCTCTGGTTCTGGACATGGGGTTGTTGAAGGTTGTGAATCATGGTTTTTTGGGGTTGGTGGGTTGGGGTGTGGGATATTAATCGCAGTGTGTTTAGAGTTTTCCAGTATATTTGGGTTGATGTGGTTGGGTTCCAGGGTTGGGGGTGGGTTGGGCTGAGTTTGTAGTGTTGTTTCATCAGGTGCGGGCTCCGTAGAAGGGTTCTGAGTTGATGAGCTTCGGTTGGGTTTTGCTTTCTGGTCCACAATTTTTTAGTTCCAAGGGTTTCAGGTTTTCTTTTAGTGGGGATCTTTGTGGCGGTCTGGATTTTAGTTGATGTTTGGGCTGGTTTAGTAGGGTGTTTATTTTTGTTGCTTTGTGTCACAGCCTGGGGACTTGATTGACATTGTAGCACAATACAGGGGCTCCTTTATAATTCTTCGTCAACTAAGTCAACTCAGACGACATTTAGGGGTATTACCTGTGCATTTCATTTCATTTGCATTTTGGGTTGTATTTTCCATTCCGGTTAGAAAACTCTCTTTCCGGCCAGTTGGAAACGGTTGGGAATTCAACCGTCTATCTGTGATTCCTTTTATAAATAGGACTGTGTAGCCACCCTTGGATTTTTGTCAAAAGAAATACACTATATTCAGTTTTCTTCTTTACGTCTCTCTTTGTTATTTGTCCTGCTCTCCGGAGTCCGATTGTAATTCCGGTAACACCGCCGGTATCTGACACGTTGGTATCAAAGCTGGGGAATTCCTCGGCTCGAACCGCGATGGCGGAAGGTACTAGATCCATGAAGCAATTAGAAGAACAGATCAAGAAGCAGGAAGCTCGTTTAGCTGAAGTCACGGCTGGATTTAACGATCATGTCAATGGTAAGTTCTCGGAGTTTCAGACGCAAATTGAGGCCAAACTGAAGACGGCGATGGAAGGCATGGCTTCGAAATCTCAATTGGATCGGATGGAAGCAATGATTACATCTCTGGCTCAATCTCAGATCCATTCCAGTCCGATTCCGCCGGTTAGAGACAAGGCACCGATTAGATTTGGGGATATGCCGGCAGAGAGGTCACCTGTGATGTTGAATTCAGGAAATGCTTCAAGAATTCATATTGAAGGGGAATTTACAACGGCAGCAAGAGATCGTGGCTTCCGTCCTCAGTGGTTCACTCAACCAAAGTTGGAGTTACCAATGTATGAAGGAGAAGGAAACCCTAGAACGTGGATCCGCAAGTGTGAGAAATTTTTCCTGTTACATCAAGTGGCGGAACATTGGAAAGTGGAACACATTGAGTTATATTTGGAAGGGAAAGCTGAGATTTGGTTTCAGGCTACAAAAATGCTGAAACCACAACTGTCTTGGGTTGAATTCAAGAATGGATTGATAGAAGGTTTGCTGAGAAAAGAATGCAAGATGATATGGAAGAGTTTAATAAATTGATTCAGCATGGTAATGTGAAGGAGTACCAGGAGAGATTTGAAGATTTGAGGACCCGAATGTTGTGCAAGGATCCTCATTTGACTGAGGGTTATTTTATTTCTAGTTTTATCAGTGGACTGAAGGAAGAGATCAAGCCCATGGTTCGGATGTTGCCACATCAAGACCTGAATGAAGTGTTTGATCATGCATTACTTCAAGAGCAAAATCTATCTATTAACGCTAAAGCTGAAAGGATCAACCATCCGACTTCTGCTAAAACATATATTTCCTCAGTTAAGGTACCTGAAAATCCTAAACTTCCTGTTAAGAAAGAGAGTATGTCTGATCAATATAAAAGTTTAACTCATGAAGGGTATCAATATAGAAGGAACCATGGGTTGTGCTATAAGTGTGCTGAATTGGTCCAGGTCATAAATGCTAGTTTAGGAACTTTAATGTGTTGATTGTGGATGAAGATTGTGATGAAAATTCTCTGTCAATTCCTGAATTGAATGTTGATGATGGCCTAGACATTAATGATTTGACATTGGATGAGCAATCATTGCATGTTTTGTCTGTTACTCCTGTCAAGCAAACCATTCTTATAGTAGGGAAAATTGGTGGAAAATTGATTAGAATTTTAGTGGATACGGGTAGTACAGACAGTTTTATTGATATTAAGGTGGTGATGGACATGCAACTTCATTATGAGGAATCTGAGCTATACACTGTCACTGTGGGAAATGGAAGTCGGGTTTCTGGGAGTTTGATTTGTCCTAAGCTGAGGTGGGACATTCATGACTTGAAATTTAGTTATGATTTGAAGATTATGAAACTGGGAGGTTATGATATGATTCTAGGTGTGGATTGGATGGCTCATTATAGTCCTATGAATATTAAATTGAGCAAATATGGGAGGCAATATGTTTTACATGGAGATGGTAGGGGGTGAGTATGCAGTTAATCAGGGAAGCAGAGTTCATAGAAGTGGCACATGATAAGAGAAGGAGGGTATCTTCACTTCATTTGAATTCTTTGTTGAGAAATGAACAACCAGGGCCGTTGGAGGTACCTGAATCGGTGTTGCAACTGACTCAAAAGTATGAAGGAATTTTTGCTACTCCAACATCTTTGCCCCCCCACCGGTTTATAGATCACCATATAGTGCTAAAAGAGGGTTCCCAACCTTTCAAAATTCCGCCATATCGTTGTCCTCATGCCTGGAAAGCTGAAATTGAGAAGCAAGTGGATGAAATGATAGAACAGGAATTGCTCAGCATAGCACCAGTTCGTATGCATCTCCGGTGGTTTTAACTAGGGAGAAAGATGGCAGTTGGAGGTTATGTGTTGATTTCAGAAGACTGAATGAGATGACTGTAAAGGACAAATTCCCAATACCTATTATTGAGGAATTATTGGATGAACTGGAGGCCGCGACTGTGTTTATCAAACTGGACTTGAGATCTGGGTATCATCAAATCAGAATGGAGGAGGGGGATATTTCCAAAATGGCATTTCACACTCACCACGATCATTTCATGTTCTTGGTGATGCCATTCGGCTTAACTGACGCCCCGTCAACCTTCCAGGCTTTGATGAACCAGGTATTTCAGGGTCTGCTCCGGAAGAGCGTTCTGGTGTTTTTTGATGACATTCTGATCTATAGTTCTAGTTTGAAGCAGCATTTGGTAGATTTGGAGGTGGTATTTGGGTTGCTGCAACAACATCAACTTTTTGTTAAAAAAAGCAAGTGCTCCTTTGCTCAACCTTCGGTGGACTATTTGGGACACACCATTTCAGCCGGAACAGCAAGTATGGACAAGAGTAAGGTGGACTGTATTGTTGATTGGCCTATACCAGCAAATATCAAGCAACTGAGGGGCTTCTTGGATTTGACTGGTTACTACCGACGCTTTATTAAGCACTATGGGTTGATTTGTCGGCCATTAACGGACCTTCTAAAGAAGAATGCTTTCTCCTGGACTCCAGAAGCTGAAAAAGCCTTTCTGAAACTTAAGACAGTGATGTCTACTTCCCCGGTTTTGAAAATGCCTGATTTTTCCATTCCTTTTTTGGTGGAGACGGATGCTTGTGAAACAGGTATGGGGCCTGTACTTATGCAACAGGGTCAGCCTATTGCTTATATTAGCAAGGCTTTTAACAAACAGAATCAAGGCTTATCTGTGTATGACAAGGAGTTGATGGCGTTGGTTTTAGCCGTCACCAGGTGTAGGCATTACCTTGTTGGAGTTCATTTTATAGTCAAGACCGATCATCAATCCCTAAAATATTTGTTGGAACAAAAGGTTGTTAGTTCATCTCAACATAAGTGGTTAACCAAGCTGTTGGGGTATGACTACGAAATTCACTATAAGAGGGGCAATGATAACACTGCTGCTGATGCTTTGTCCAGGAAAGTACATTTTATATCTGATGGGGGAGGATTCGACAGATCGGTAGCATGAGAGCAGTATGCCATTTCATCAGTACAACCCCAGTGGGTACAAGACATCATGGATAGTTATGCGAATGACCAAGCAGTGAAGGACCTTATGGTGGCGGTAAGTACTCATCCTAATACAGTTCCTGATTTTCAGTATATTGAGGGTATATTAAGGAAGAAGGGGAGGATTTATGTTGGTTGCGGTACTAGTATCAGGACTGATCTGATAGAAGCCTTCCATTCTTCTGTCTTGGGTGGACATTCAGGCCAAAACGCTACTATTCAGAGATTGAAGTCCTTGTTTTTTTGGCCTAACTTGAAGAAGGAAGTTATAGCTTATATCCGGCAATGTGAAGTTTGTCAGAGGAATAAAAGTGAGCATGTTTTATCTCCTGGAATGCTTCAACCACTTCCCATACCTGTCCACGCTTGGAAAAGCTTTTCCATGGACTTTATTGTTAAGCTTCCTCCTTCTAGGAATGTCAATACTATCCTGGTTGTGGTGGATCGACTTACCAAAAACAGTCATTTCTTGGCTTTAGGGACTCCTATCACCACGGCGGGGGTGGCTGAACTATTCATCAATGAAGTGTTCAGGTTGCATGGGTTACCGGAGGACATTGTTACTGACAGGGATCCAGTGTTTACCAGCCATTTCTGGCAAGCTCTTTTTCAGCATTAAGGAGTTAAACTGAAAATGAGCACTTCATACCACCCACAGACTGATGGTCAAACGGAGCGGGTCAGTCACTGTATTGAAACTTATTTAAGATGTTTTTGTTGTGACAGACCGGATTCCTGGAGCTTCTGGTTACCTATGATTGAGTGGTGGTATAATACTTCCTACCATGTCAGCATTCAAATGTCTCCGTTTGAAGCCTTGTATGGAGATAAACCAACTCCATTTCCATTGGGTCCCTTTGTTGAAAGTGTTATACCTGCTGCTGATGATAAGATTGGCCAGAAGGTTAGGATTTTGAAACTGTTGAAGGAGCATTTGGTAAAGGCTCAGAACAGGATGAAAGTATATGCGGATCAAAAACACCTTGAAAGGTCGTTTGAAGTTGGAGATTGGGTATTTTTGAAACTGCAACCATATAAACAGTCTACATTGGCAGTCAGATCATACTTAAAGCTTTCTTCCAGATACTTTGGTTCCTACAAGGTTTTGGAAAAAATTGGATCGGTTGCCTATAAGTTACAGTTTCCAGCTCAAGTCAGAATCCATGATGTCTTCCATGTGTCTCTTCTCAAAAGGTTTCATGGCCATATTCCTGCTGTAAGCACCCCACCACCTGATTTTTCATTGCTCGCAGAATCAACCCTGTGTCCGGAGAAGGTGCTGAAACGTCGGTTTATTCTACGTGATAATCATCAGGTTGTGCAATGGCTTATTCAATGGAAGGGATTCAGTGCAGATGATGCCTCTTGGGAAGACCAGGGATTTGTGCAGAAGCAGTTTCCAGGTTTCAAATCTTGAGGACAAGGTTGACCTTATCAGGGAAGGAGTTGTCACAGCCTGGGGACTTGATTGACATTGTAACACAATACTGGGTTCCTTTATAATTCTTCGTCAACTAAGTCAACTTAGACAACATTTGGGGGTATTACCTGTGCATTTCATTTCATCTGCATTTTGGGTTGTATTTTCCATTTCGGTTAGAAAACTCTCTTTCTGGCCAGCTGGAAACGGTTGGGGAATTCAACCGTCTATCGGTGATTCTTTTATAAATAGGACTGTGTAGCCACCCTTGAATTTTTGTCAAAAGAAATACACTATATTCAGTTTTCTTCTTTACGTCTCTCTTTGTTATTTGTCCTACTCTCTGGAGTCCGATCGTACCGGTAACACCGCGGGTATCTGACACTTTGAGACTTCTGGCCCTGGCTGAAAGTGAAGTGGTTCCCGGTCCATCCAAATGCTGTTGTTGGTGTTTTTAATTCAGAAGTGGCTACCATCTCGGATGCCTCCTTTTCTAGTCCTGCAAGTGCTGAAACCCTTTTGTAAGTGTATTCTGGAAAATATTACCTGATGTGGGCTTGGGCTTTCCGGTCCATGGATTTGAGGGATAACGGCGGCGTTTTTTTTGCGCGTGATTCCCCTCGCCCAAAGTGGAGGTTCGCTGTTGTGATATTGGGTTCTGTGTTGCATTTCTTTTACCCGTTGTTGTGTCGTTTTATTGCGGCAACGGTACTTTGGTGCTTGTTTGTGGGTCCATTGACGTGACTGTTGCCGGAGGCACTTTGGTCGGCGGAGATGGTGGAGACTCCGGGCAGTTGGGTACTCTTGTGTTGCGCTTCCAACGAAATGAACGGAAAATATGCTAAGAGACCAAGGCCTAGAGAACACACATTACCAAAAGCATTTCGCACGTTGATCATGTCGAAAAAACATAAAGCTATAATACATGAAAATTGCAAAATATCAGCTGTAAATCATTCTACACCCACTAATTAAAGGATAGTTAGAAAATAAAAATTTAATTATGCTCGCGAAAATTGAACCATCGGCGATAAACTCTATAATAGAAGAACACCCGGATCCCGTCCTCACTAAGAAATGGCTTTCCCTTTTGGATCAAGCATCTCATACATTTCTCTAGGACCAATTCAGAGTTATAATAAGCTTCACTTAATCTTCCTTTTCTCTGGTCTCAGGTTGACTAGTAGAACTGCTCCCCTGATCCGTTGAGTCCTCTGTACCAGCCCTTTGAGGCTCCTCTTTATTGATTGTGAGAATTAGAATAAACATTGCAACAACAAAGATAAGAATATAAACAGTTCTCATCCCGAAGAGCGAGTTTATAAAACCCATAAAAGAAGGACCGCTAATACGCTTCTGGATTACACTCCCCTGTCTATATCCTTCAAGAAATCGTGTGATTTCTGATCCCTGATCCACTTCCTTCATGCTTTCTGAACCAATAACCTGGATAAGAATATATACACATCAGAATGCACACATTCTGTACAGATAACAAGCTGATACAGGGGTCACACTTTAGAAATCTAGTAGAAACAAAACTTGACGGAGTTCTCATAACTTTCCACTGGAAGGTCATAATCATCATCCAAATTAATTCTCAGTTTTGCAGTCCATGAAAGTGTACCTTCCTATTGTCCATTGTTGAGCCCAATACAAGGTCTAACTAGAGCGGTCTACTTCATGTGTTGTGGGATGAAACCTTGTGTAAAGCCACTCAAACAGACTTTTAAAGCTCTACAAGTGTTTGCAGGAACACTTTCAGTTTTTGTAAAATTTTTCAATGCTCTAAGTTTTGGTACTCATTAACCACAGATGCACTGGCAAGACTTTCCAAGATCTGTTCATTTTGGATAACGCTTATGCAGCACCATTTTTTTGTATCAGAAAAAGATTCCTGACAAACATCTACAGATAGAGAGATTCCCAACTCGATGTGGTTAGTAATATCCTAGTTCAATCCATAACCAACATAACTTTGAAGAAAGTAAAACTCCTTATTACCTAGATAGGATGAAGATGCATGATACTGATGATCTAAAATAAAAGGAAGATAAAACAGGAAAAGACCAAGAAGCTCACTATAGATGGCATTAATAGTACTGTGCTTTCTAAATCATACAGTAAAGAACTACATCAACAACCGCATTAAGTTTGCTTCTTAATAACACACCTGTAACAATGACCAACAATTGGTAGGCCATCAGAGACATGAGGCCATAACACGACCTATATGGTGTGATGCCCATTCCCATAACAGATGTCCACAATATCGCAAGACATCGATTGTACACAGGAAGATATGAATAATGATAAAGCCAAGACATGTGAATTCAACGGCAAACCAAAAGTTTTGAAGCCTTCAAGTGTTGAAACTGTATATAGGCAACAAGAACCTTAATGTTTCTCGTAGATAATATATTATTATTTCTTCGAGCTCCAAACCCTTGCCTGAATTTTAAATTTGTGTACTTATATCGATAGACCTATGACAAAGAAAGGCAGAGAACAGCGGCGAGGGTGGGGGTTGCTACATTTCATGAAGTTCAGGAAAATAATATCAATGGAAGCATTACTCCAACACAGGCTCACGATTTTAATGAATTCAATGAAAAGAACAACACTAACGTAGCATATCTCTGATTGGATTCAAAAGGGAGTCTAGCCCCCTAAGCATGAGCAGTTCTACACAGCAAGTTAGATCAACACACCAGGCTATGTATGAACGGAACGATGAAACTAGAAGTTCTTACAATGCAATAGAATCTGACGGAGCTTAGCACGAAGTTCAAGGTTTCACAGCTTTATAACCAAGAAATGCAAAGTAGCCTATCTATGTACTCCCGTAATTGCCTTCATCCTTGGTTTTCAATAAAATTCAACCAATAAGATTTTAGGTTTGTTGTTTCTCCATTTCAAGTCAAAGGAGAGATATTGCTTTATCATAATGCCTTAGGTCAACAACAGACCTTTTTCAGCCTATTGTGAATTTCATTTACTCAAGGTTGAGCTTTTATACAATCAGCCAACAGTAATTCACATACGAAATTCAAGCGAATCAAGAAGTAATGATTTCCATGATGTGCCAATGTTTCTTAGGATCCATAAAGGAAACTGGCATGCCACAAATTAAATGGAAGCTATCCTTATCCAAGATTTCAATGAACACTAGCAATTTCAATATAATTAAACTGCGCATTGCAACCTCATGACATTTTGTTGGATTTTAGATGTTCCATTGTGCTTCTGTGATTTAAACAAGTGTATCTCTTCTGGATTGGATCATTCTTTAGAAAAGTGATCTAAATTCGTCTTTTAAGAGGATTTTGTTGTAGAAAGAGTACAGGTTGGTCAGATCCTATGTGGCCTTATTAGACTAAGCCCAATTTGTCTTAGAATGAAGATTGCATGACATCACACACTAAAAAGAATGTAGGAAAGAATCTCCAGTGTGAATCAAGAATCTCATGAGTTGAAGATGAAAATAATCATAAACCTAATGAGAATGACTGAAATGGAGGCTGTGTAAAACTATATAACAAGAGCACATGCTCGAAAACTTAATTATATTTTTGGATCAATTTTTAGTATGTGTTTTCTGGGCTGGGAATGTAAAAAACTGTGTTGGAAATATAAAAATGTGCCTTGAGAAGGTACTTATAAGAATTAAATAATCAAAAAAAGATTCAAAAAGCAAATGAAAAAAAAAAAAAACCATAGCCAAGAAACATCCCCCCTCCCCCCCAAAAAAAAGGAAATAAAAGCAAATAATAATAATTTATTAAGGGAAAAAAAAAACCCTTACCGAAAGGTATTCCTCATTTCCATCCCAAATGACCATCTTCGGCAATTCCGAATTCATGTTCACTTCAAATGACTCTGCAAGCGCTTCAAACTGCTGCAAGCCAACATAACCAAATACCAAATCACGGTTTGCAGAGGCAGCAGCCTTCAACAACTTGACTAAATCCTTTGATTTTGCATCTGACTCATCTTTAACAATTGTCAAAGCAATCTTCCTCTCATCATCCTTCAACAATTTCAGTGAATCTTGATTTATTGGTAAAACAAGAGGCAACAAACTTTGCTTGATGTAGTCCTCGAGGAAACTCTCTACAAGTTGAATGAAAAAATGTCACCCTAACATATAAATTTGCTCTATTGGTAATAAGAAATTCATAGGATTTATTATTGCCCACTAAGCATAAAATTTATTATTAAAAGAAAGAAAAGATTGTATTTAGACAATAAAAACCAATGTCATCTTCATGAACAATGTGGTTCATGATGTTATTACTGAAAAGCAAATCAATCCGCCAAGTAAAACTTTGAAATTTGAACTTTATATTGCAAGAATATTCGAAGATGGTATCAATAGCACATGTTTCTGGCATAATCCAGAACTGTTTTGTCTAACCTAAAGAAGGTTACAAAAGTTCATCAATCTCCAGCAACCTATATGTACTCCTGGGAGCAGAGCAATAAACTCAGTAACGCCTTTAACCTTGTTTATAATCCAAAGGGGATCCACATCGGCAAAACAGAATTGAAGGCAGAACACATACTTTCAGTACAAAAGACAGAAAACATTGATGCGTCGAACATAGTCACAGAGACAAATAAGTCCGGTATTATTTAAAAACACATGGAAAGCTAGTCCCAAGTCTGGAGCCTCCAATCTCGAACTCCTAATCTCATTGTTTTAAGTTTACGAATTCATTCAAATGCTAGAAAACTTTCCAGCTTAATAAAACATGTAGCAGAATCAAACTGTTTTGTCTTGGCAAGGGGTGCGGTAAAAAAAAGTAGAAATTCATGGGAGGGGTGATAGGAAGCCATCGGAATGATGAAACTTATAAAATTGTAGCTGGGACGTAAGAACTTTTACAAATACATCCATGCTTATTAGGTACTATGACATGGGGAAGGCATGAATAAGCATCATCCATTTATGTGAGAAAGAGGAGAATCAAACTGTTTTATCTTGGCAAGGACTTGGGTGCGGTAAAAAAAGCACAAAAATTCCTTAAAAGTAGAAATTCATGGGAGGGGTGATAGGAAGCCATCGGAATGATGGAACTTGTAAAATTGGTTGCTGGGACGTAAGAACTTTTACAAATACACCCATGCTTATTAGGTACTATGACATGGGGAAGGCATGAATAAGTATCATCCATTTATGTGAGAAAAAGGAAAAACAAAAGAAGAGAGGTGAGAAATCAAAGATCTAGGGCACTACTTCGTATAAAATTTGGAAACATGGACAATAGGCATTATTGTAACATATAATTCAAAAAACAAGTGCTTTTGGAACAGTTAGAGATGGAGAAAGATGTTACTATCTAAAATGATGCTTGTTGAAAACTTACAACCCCACCCAACCTCCCACGAAACTTTAAAATTTTTACACTTGTTAAGATCCTTTTCGAGAAGATATTTATCATGCAGAAGGAGCTGAATTCATCATCAACAACACCAACATACCCTAGTATAAACCCACCAAGTTGGGGTATGGGGTCAGTTGTACACAGCCTTACCCTTGTGATTAGACAAAGAGGCTATTTCCGTTGAGACCCAAGGTACATTGAGTCGTTTGATATATTTATTTCCAGCCACTTCACTAATAGAGGAAGCACTGGAATTTAACAGAGCCATTTTGATTTAGTCCATAATTAGCACAGAGCTAAAGAATTGTCAATTATGACTCTTCCAGCTCCATTTGCAATTGACAGAAAAAATAAGCTGAAAAATAATGTATTGCTAAGGATGTTGAAAAATTAATGTGGCAGAAAAAAATGCTTTCAGATAATTACAGAAGAAAGAAAAAGAAGATGAAGTACTTAAATAAGGATGAAATGATAAATACATGTGTGTGCACGCATGGGCGCCAGCGGAGATACACACACAGATAAAGCAAATATGAGGAAGAAAAGAAGATAGCCAATGCAAACTAAGTGTATACAAGAAGAAAACTGTAATTGAGCAAAGAATAATCAAAGTGAAGCCATTACAAAGTTATACTTACTAAATAGAGTCAATGGTGAATGCATTGGAAACAAAGAAGGGTTAGCCCAAGAAACGACGAAATTAGAGCAAAAAATTTAAAGTAGGTTGGATTTGTGCAGAGAGGAACTTTCATACCACAAAAAGGTGGGTGCAAATACATCATTAAATTAAAATTGAAGAGAGATGATCTAAACAAAATTGAGGAACAACAACGTTAAAAAGGACATTGTTTAGAAAATCCTAAACGTACACAGACCACATGCCAAATATAACTTTGAGGTCATCTACTTGACAGATTCCACAACATGGAATAAGTTTTCATTGTTTATCTTCTTATGGCTGTTGCATTATTGTAGTATGGAACAAGATTTGGATAGGCACTTTCAAACTGTCCTAAAAAAAAATTTTATCTTGCACAATAAAGGACGTCCTGGTTTCCAGCTTATAATTGTTTGCAGCAACCATTTTCCAGGTAAGAAAATCCTTGACGAACTATTGAAACTTAAGTTTTGGGTTGAGAAAACGTTGCAACCCATACCAAAGGGTAAAAGACCTAAATCATGAAAGAGGCAACTAATCAGACTGGGAATATTAGGGAAGCCTTTTTGGGTTGACCACAAGGGTAGGGAGGAAGGAAAACCTTCTCTGAAGAATCCTTAAAACCCCTTCATTTGCTTATTCCTCGATACAGAAGTTTCTCGTAGAGCTCCAACAATTTCCTTTGACTTAGCTTTCACTCCACAACCTCAATTTAAATTTCAAGAAACCAAACCTATCTATCTGAAGCTTCATCTGGGCATCTTCCAAAGTACCATTTGCTGTTATGAATACAAATATCTCACAAACTAAACAGCAAGAAAATATATATTTACCAAATATTTTTTTATCCCAATTCTTATGTTCCGTATCTAAGATTTAACAGATTTAGCTTTAATGTCAACCTGTACAAGATGAGAACTACAGGGGAAAAGCTACAGTTAAAAGTAATTATTTCCCGTGAGTTATCCTTTGAAAGATTTACCAAACAATTCCTGATTTTTAAAGCAATTTAAAAAGGCTTCACTTAAAGATTCAGCAAATGTGAACAGGGAACACTCTAATTCTTCCAATAAGTCATAAATAGAGAAGCGTTTCTCTGGTTACTGAATATAATTGGTCTAAAGTCAACTTGATTAGCTAAAAAATTAGTTTGAAGGACATAAACAAACTGCATCATACCTTCAAAAGGACCATAATAAACACTCTGCTCATTGTATCCTGGATTAATTGAGACAACTGCAGGCGCCTTGTCAAAATCATAGAAGGCCATGGTTTCATCGGAAAAGTCTTTCGCCACAGCAAACCACGCCTTTTTCTTGTACTTGACAGCCAAATTGGATATGGTGGATTCATTCAAGCCAAATCCAATGAATACAGGAAATTGGGTGTCAGCTGTTTCAATAAACTCCTTAATAGAGGAGTCAGAACTGAGAATGGCAACATCTGGAGCAACAAATTTCTTCAAGAATCGAACAAGTATATCAGCTTTCCTTTGTCCATAATACTCTGTAGGGACCCCATGCATAAATATCTTTAAGGTCGGAAACCCACTGCATAACAAGCAAAGAAACTCTCAGCAAATAAACACTGCTAAGACGCAATAAATCACTCAACAGTTAAAAGCCCAAAATTGACGCAGTACTTGATATTTACAACCATATACAAGTCTTAGAAACTATTTTAATTCTAAACAAGAACATAAATAGATGCAGCAAAAGGTTGCTCAATGAACTACAAATCGGCAACAATTTGGCAACATACTCAATATCATGCTTAGAGCCAATACGTCTGTATTTGTCAGCATCGATTTTCGCAACAACAATTGGCGGCTTCAATTTAGCAAGAACTGGAGCTGCTTTCTCCAACTGCATTCAAGATTTAACATGTATCAGTCTATTTTACATAAGAACGCCAACAATAACATCGGAGAGCTATACAAAAAATTGAGACTGGACGTAGATTATATTCAAGATCAAGAGATCGTTTGTCAAGGAAAAAAAATAAATAAAAAATCTAGAGACAACATAAAATGAAATTATATTCCCAGCTTCACCCTCAACAAAAGGAAACCATATGATCAGTATCAGCATAATACAAACACCCCAACAGAACAAAGAACATAAAGAATGTATGCAAACAATATATCTCCAAATATGCTACAAAACCGATTTTTAAACATTAAAACCATCGGCGCATAAACAAAATAAGGCATAAATCCCAGAAATCATACACTCCCGCAAAAAAAAGGGAGTTTATAACTTTCCTAACAACACCATATTCAAATTTCCATCCTCATGATGCAGCATTTTATGCTTTCCAGTAAAGATTATCAATACTTGAATCAATGAAGAACAAATGTCACCTCGGGAGTAAGACGCTTGCAGTGGCCACACCATGGGGCGTAAAAGTCAACGAAAATATAATCGAAGGTTGAAATAGCGGCATCGAAGTTGGATTCATCTAGGTCTAGTACTTTCCCGTTCTCAACTGCATTAACGAACAAATTCTGATCTTCCTTCACGGCCGCCGTCGTAGCAACGGCAACGGCGGCTAGAAAGAAGGAGAAGAAGGTGAATACGCCACCGAGGAAGATCACGGATTTGGACCGGAATAGCATTTTCTCCGCTTTTTACAATTTTCTGGCGACTGTAAAGAGTCGTTGTTAATCATCAGAAGAATTTTACCAACCTGACTCAGCAGAGGATAAAATTAAGCATAAAACCCCCGCGGGTTTTCGAAAGTACAAGATTAACCCCTAAGGTAAACAAATATCTAAAATTCATAACCATGTCCCATCCTTTGTCAACACTACTCAATAAATGACACGTGTAATTATCAGTAAATTTTACAACGCGGTAAGACAACATGAGTATAATAGTACTACCCTAGGTTCTTCACCCGCGCATATGCACAAGTATGAATTAGACTAATGTTTATTGTTTCTATTTAAACAAAGATAATAGAAAAAATGAAATATGGTGAGAATACAATGTTTTTTTTATGTAAAAGAAAATCGTTGATCATATAATAAAGATGAATGGATGAATACATTATAAAATTAATTTACTTATATTCTAACCATACATGGAGGTTTTCTCCTTTGAGCCCAGCTTTCAAAAATATTTAATGGAGAACGTGGAAGTTGTTTGGAAGTCTGTTATATGAAAGAATCACGGTTTAGTTGGAAGTCAAGGACGAATTTGAACAGTTTTGTTTTTTTTTTTTGATATATGAATTAAATAAATTAAACCTGCATCTTTGGAGTTTTAGGTGAATTAAACGGACATCTTTTGGATTTTGGGTGATGAATTTTTAAGGTGAGTGTGACATTTGGAATTTTAGAATAAACACGGTTTTTTCTATAATGGGGTTATAGAATCACGGTTTAGTTAGAAGTCATTGACGTATTTGAACAGTTTCGGTTTTTTTTTTTTTTTTTATATAAACGAATTAAATAAATTAAACCAGCATCATTTGGGTTCTAGGTGAATTAAACAAACATATTTTAGGTTTTTGGGTGGGGAGACTTTAAGGAGAGTGTGACATTTGAAATTTTAGAAGAAACATGGTTTTTGTTATAATGGAGGTAATTATAGATATGTTAGCCTTAAGAATGTGTTAGTACAACTAATGAAGAAATGGCACAACAAAATCAAATTTCCTTCGGTTTATTTTAATAATTCATTTCCTTATAATAAAGTCGGCCATTAATATGGATCGAATAGAGGAATATAATTTTTTTTTCCCTACAACAATATAAAGTGTTTTTTTTTTTGTACACTAATATGATATTCACACCATTAAATTCCATGGCTTAAATTATACTCGCTCCAATCTTAATTACAAGGTAAAAATTTATAATAATCTTAGTGTTAATTTGTACCTTATAACTTATATATTAAAAGAGAAGACATTTGGACATGTGATATGAAATTAACTAATCAAATAAAAAAGTAGACAAATACAGTGAAATTGAGTGTAGTCAATGTTTTCGTGCAACTATTTAATTTTATTTTCTACGTATACTTTTTAAGTTAGAAAAAATAAAATTCAAACATTTCCATTTCAGTTATAATGCTATAAGATACACAAATCTTTTCTTAAAATGAGATTCTTACAACAACTTTTCCATTAATGCATAGAATAGAACGCACAATTATCTGCCCAAAACATTCAAAAAAAATAATAAGATTGTTGCATCTAATTCAATTATTCCTACATTTTCGGTTAACTAAAATTAAATTAACAATAAAATTGTAGAATCTCTCTCCAAGCAAAGAATACATATTTGTCTAACTCATTTTTCTTTTTCAGTTTTCTAGACATAGGTTATAACTAACATAGATGATAAGATAAGATCTAACCATTTTATTATAGTTCCCTTTCTTTTTTTAGTAACAACAAAATTTGCATGTGTATTTAGAGTAGAAATTCTTTATATTTACTTTGAGTATCAAAGCAATGGCAATAGACAAAAACGAATGTATATACAAATTTTAATGTGCACTAGTTGAAGGATCTCACAAACAGAAGTGTTTAACTCATAATTCTGAGTGATAGTTTTTGCCTTTACTCATATATTATCTATATATCATTGCTTTACATTACCTCAATTTCTAAGCAATTCATTTTTGCTATATTTAAGGCGTCTAAACAAAAATATCCATGATGCTCTTTTAGATTCAGTTTTTGTCCTTAATTAAGAAGTCTGGATCTTTCCTTCAGTTTGCTTCTTCTCAATCAAAGTGAAATTGAAATATTAAAGTGAAAAATTCTCCAGCCAAAATTTTTTCCCAAAAACGTCCTATTGACTATACGCCAGCAATTTTTCAATTTTTCATCGAAGGACGACTGGCTCGACAGTTCATATTTCATTTTGGTTTTACTCCTCAAGCCCCCACACTTGGTTAAATCTTACTGGATTTATATATTATACTAATTGGTAAACCACTCATAGAAACTAAGAATTGTTCCTAAGGTGACATATATAGCAAATTCTAATGTATCATTTTCTCATTAATTCTCAAAAAAAAAAAATTATGTAAATGTTGAACATGTCCGCTTAATTTTAGAAGAAAAACTAACCATTACTTATAGGTAAAATCTAAACTTTAATCAATTCATTTTGAAGTATGTTTTGACTCTCCTCATCATATTCGAAAACCAGATTTTAGGATTTTCAACCATTCAATCATCGTTAGTCAAAATTAAAAAAAATACGTACATCCACATAATTTTGTTATCAAAATTCACATATTTTTTTGTTCAGTAACGTCACATTTGTTCTTTTTATAAAGTTAGAAAATTATATCTCTCTCAAAACTCTAATTTTCCTAAATATTCGCCTGTGAGAAAGGGCTATGAAATTTTTGTTTTGTTGTTACCCAATCCAATCACACTCTCAAATTATAATTTTGTATCATGTGAAAAAAAATTATTTTTTCACGCATAATATAATAACGTTTTCATTTATTATTTTACAAATTATAATTTATACACTTTTGATCTATACTTTTACACACACACACACACACACACACACACAAAAATATTTATAAATAATTTAGATTCGTGCGGGTATAACATCTAGTTAAATTTAAGCAGAGGTAAAAACTACATTGCAAGTGGCACGTGGACCAATTAACGAGGGTGATAATCTCGCAATCTTTGTCTATATTCTTATCATTTACTAATGAGTAAAAGGTAAAAAAGAGATTGAAAAAAGAGAAAAGGTGAAGTAGTGAGTCTGTTAGAATGAATAGTCAAGGGAGGGGAGGGTGTATAAGTTGAATAAGGATGAACTGTTAATTGAAGAAGAGCCGAAGAGAGATAAGCTTGCAGTAGACAAATCAACTCCACAAGCTCAAGAAACAGTGGTAAAGAAAACATAGCAGCCACCACCACCATATCCTTTGAAGGGATTGTTGAGTTTCATAGAAACTCTTGAGAAGCTACATATATTAGTTCCATTGGGTGATGTTTTGAAACAAATGCCGAAGTACTTAAAGTATCTTATGGACTTCATGATGTCTAAGCAGTGCGTTCATGATGATTCAATCATTTCACTCAGTGAGGATTGTATTACAACAACTTTGAAAAAAGTACCCCTAAGTTACAGGATCCGGGAAGTTTTACAATTCAGTGCATTATTAGAAACACGTATTTCAATAAATCATTGCTTGATTTAGAAGCTAGTATTAATTTGATGCCTTTATGTATTTTCAAAAACCTTGGTTTGAAAGATGATATAACTCCCACTAATGTTATTCTCCAATTTTCTTACCGATCATTGGCATATTCAAAAGGTATTGTAGCTAATGTTCTTGTAAAGGTGAGCCCTTTTGTTTAACCTGCAGATTTTGTGGTTTTGGATATTAATGAACATGATGATGTTCCTAGGCCGGACACTCTTGGTTACATGTGATGCTCTCATCGAAATTAGAAAGGGTGAAGTAACATTAAGGTTTGATGGTGAGCAAGTCACTTTTAATATCTTCAAAAGTAAGAAGTATCTGGTTGAACATGATTCTTGTTTTAGCATTAATATGGCTGAGGGAACTAATGGTGAGATTGTTGCACATCCAATTATGAAGGATCTGTTGTTGCAAGATATTTCTTTATCTGAAAATATGAATAAAGTGAATGAAGAACAAAATGCACAGCTGTTATGAACCAAACTCCTTAGTTGCTAATAAATCGACAAGTCAAGGAGCAACTAGAGTTGGGAGGCAAAAGTGTTAAATAGCTTGATCATTCGGGTAAAACTCCAAAAAGAACACTAGCTCCACTCATAATCAAGAAGTCTAAGAACAATAGTAGGGGGTGGTCAGTCAGAGCAATCTAAGAAACATCCACATATTCGTGAGTTCAAGTCTATTATCTACCTCCAAATCGAGGAAAGAAGCATGATGAACTGAACATGGTCGATTCATGTTCAAGGGCCCCGTAGAGTCAAAGAGCATACATTGTGTCGGACCAACAATGTTAACCACAAGTGCTTCTTAGGAAGCAACCCAAGTTCTTACCTTTCTTTTCCTTTTAAGTTTTAATATTGTGATTCGTATTTGATTGTTTTTCTTTTTGCATAGAGCACTTTCAGTTTAAGTCCAACTTTCTCTCATCATATGGGAAGATTAGTATACAGCTTTCATTTCGGATTTGTTCATTTCTGCTTGGCTTTCTCTATAAGAGGTCTCAACTGCTTCTTTTCAGCGAGAATCTTCAGAAAGTCGAACAGTAAAGGGTATGTACTTGTGTTTGTGACGCATATTCTCTATTCCCCATTTCTTGAACTTTTCTTCCTCGATCAAAATCTTCTCAGTCGCAGCCTCAATTTCAGCATTTATCTCTGAAAGTTGTTTGTTAAGTGCTTCCACATTGTTGTTGTCGACCAGTCTCTCTGTTTGTAACGTGGCCAGCTGCTGCAGAATACGTTCCCTTCTCCTCTGAAGCTCCTAGGCTTCAGCTGTATACAATTCTTTCCAGTTCTTTATGACGTGGCCAGCTACGCGTTGAACCTAATTTCATTCTTAGAGTACCTTTCGATGCGCTCCTGAATCACAGGCGTAACCATTCGTAACCAATCCAAGTCACTGTGTCCCCCCAGGCCCCTGCCCAAGGCTAATAGAGACCCTTCCTTCAATCCATCAAGCTCATAAAGCACGCCATCAACATGTATATAGCTAATGTAATGATAAACATCGTCATCTTTCCCAGCAGCTCTCTGCTCAGGCTCTAGTGTGGCAAAACTATTGTGAGCAGTACGAACCGCTTCACTGTTGTTTATTGCCAAACCTTTTAGTTCAGGTGGGAAATTCTTGGTAAATTCTCTCAGTGACGATAGTTTGGGACCAATCTCAACATCTGGACAATTCATAAGGATAGAAAGAATAGCTTGGGTGGCACATATCGATTAATTAGTCCCAAGGTATGTACATTGAGAACAATGCCATCCAACCTATTCCATTTCGTCAATTTAGTCCCAGTCTATTACTCATTTAGTCAATTTAACGGAGTTTGTCAAATTTTTAACAGATTTTCTACTTTTTCCGCTGACATTTTATTTTTCGTATAAAAATATTTTAACCCCAATTTTTTACTTACAGCGCCACCCTTCCACCACCGTCTGCGTCGCCTCTTTCCCCTCCGAAATACAACAAAATGCAGCATTTTTGTCCCTACATGCAGAGTCCCAAACAAATCAAGTAGCATAACTGAATCGGTGAACCATAACCCTCTAGAGATATGTAATTAATTTCAATACACCGCTAAACAAACTTGAACAAAATAAAAAAGAAAGAAAGAGAAATTCTTGAACCATAACGAAATTGGCCCATTCGCTCAAGTTCATCTTCAAAATTGGGACATTCTCGACAAATCAAACTACATCCTTCTACAAAGAGCTCTATCTCCTCATCTTCCTTATATTCTCGAAAAGTGAAAATTTTCCAATTTGCTTCTCCTAGCGAAAAAACTTAGGCTATGTTTGGATTTTGATAACTTGCCTCTATGGTTGATGGCGTCGGAGTGGAAGCAGGCAGTGGTTACAGCGGCGGAGGCGGTGGCGGTGGCGGTGGCCACTGTGACAGTGTTATAATTAAAAAAGAAACATGGAGAAAACTGTTAAAAATTTAATAAACTCTGTTATAAATTAACTAAATAGACTAAATGAGTAGTAGGTTGGAACTAAATTAACGAAATGGAATAAGTCGGGATGACATTGTTCTCAATGCATATACCTTGGACTAATTTATCGATTCTTCCCCTGCGTTATTAATGACCTGGCTGATCCTTGATTATAACCCTATCATCTTTTTCACCAGGACGCCATTTGAAGAGGAATATCAACCCATACACTGGCCTAAGACTGTTAAGGGAGTCAAGATCCAATGAATACAACTCCTTAACCTGCACGCCTTTAACTTCCATCTGCTGTTTAAGTTCCGTAAAGACACCAGGGTCAGGCTCGATTTTACACCAAGGCATTTTACCGATAAAGAACCTTAATCCATCGCGAAGAGGTGTAGCAAAGGTGGCTGCCGCCGCAATCAACGGCAGAGGCAGCTGACCTAACCGTGTGTAAGAAATTATTATCCAGTAAAAAAACATAGAAAAAGAACATTCTCTTCCTAATAAAAATACAAGGAAAAGACTATTGAAAATTATTCCTGATAAATAAAATTTACAGAAAAAATATAATAAAATTTTTCTTTCCGATATTCTTCCCGGGAAGACCCTTCTAATGTGGCCATTTCCTTGTATCTGCCAAGTAGTATTAGTTGCTACAAAACATGTTATACAACATTTCTATCACAGCTTTCTACAACAAACCTTATAGTGGAATTGATTACCAGAGGAATGATAATTCGCACAAAATCCTTCCATGTGGAGGCTTCCTATGAGCACCAGACATAGTCATGCCCGATTTTTAGTTTTCCTTATGTTATAATTGGAGATCAAAGAATCCTTACGTCTCCATTGGCCGAGACAATAGCAATGACAGCAGCTGCCTACCTAACCTATGACAAAGGATTCCACGTAAATCCCAAGAATTCCACAAATTTGCTCTTATCTTTAGTGGAGAAGAGTTTAAAATTCGACAAAATTAGACCTTCAAATGAATTCAATAAGACCTCATCATAACTCAGATAAGCATAGTCAGGATCTCAAATTAATTAACTTTTCAAATAAAAAGAAAATTTTTTTTTTTTTAAAGATAAAATTGCTCCAGGGAAACAACAATACTGACCTCCCATAGCCGATTTCCATTCAACAGACCAGAGGGAAGGGGGCGGCAGATCGAAGTAGTGGGCAAGTGAGATGATAAACATTTGTCATGAGTTTAAATTACTCATTGAGAGATTTTCGGGACTCTAGAGATTTTAGGATCGTGATATGCTATGATTTTCTCTTATTATCTATTTTGATTCGGTGAATCATATCTTGGTGAAATTGTTTTGATTTGATGAATCATATCCGAATAAAAATTTTAGTTTCTTCTATGTGTATTAATAATTAAGTTAGAGACCTAAGTACTCTAGTACTCAGTCCGTTTCAAAATAAGTGTCGTTTTAGCAAAATGAAAAAATTTCAAAATAAGTATCGTTCTCACATTTCAATGCACTTTTTGTCCAAAATTTCCAAAATTATCCCCGAAATAATTAATACTATTGGTGATGAGAATCATGTACCCTTCCATGGAGGTTCTCCTAGTGAGAGGAATGAGCTAGTCCTTCATTCTAGTTTTGGAATGCCAAGTTTACTTTGCAGGCCAATCAAGGAAGAAAGGATGGATCTTGACTACCTATGTGATAGGGAGTTGGTTCAAAGAGCTATGATCAAGGAGATGAGAATGTCATTAACTTTGGGGTTCAAACCAAAGGAGATGAAGACCTCATGGAAATAAGTGCTGAAGAGTATCAAGAGAGTTTTACTCTGTGTGCTCCATGAAGATCATTGATCAAAGCTAGTGAGAAGAGTCATTTAGGTTCTTGAGTGGACGGCCTATTTGATCAAAGTGTTTAAGATTGAGTCCATTGCTACACAATTGGATAAGTTGCAAACTATCTTAATTGTTTCAAGTGTTTTTCCAATCTTTTGGAGTGAATAAAGAGAATTCTACAAGTTTTGGAGTAAATTGGAGTTTTCTACAACTTAAGGGGCGCAAGACCAATATTCCACTTTTGGAAGGGCGTTCAAGACATTTTACTTCAATAATTTGGAGCTGAATTTCGAGATTAGAGTCATTGTCTAAGTCTAGGAGTTATTTTCGAATTTTTATCTAGTTAAATAAGTCATGTGGACTGAATTAAGCTAGAGTGTTTTGATTAGGAGTCTTAGATTCCTTCTAGATATTATCCTACTTGAGGATAAGTCATTTAGATAAGGTTTCCTAGATTTTAGATAGAGTCAAAGAGATCAAGTACTCTTCTACTTTTACTCCTTGGGAGATAAGATTAGAGAGTCCTAATTGGTCTTCTTTTTAGTGGTGCTGGCCGAAAATTCAAGCCTATATATAGGAGGCTTGGCCGAATTTTAGAAGCACCCTTGAGTGGTCATTTTGTTGTCTCTTTTGAGAGTTTTCCTGTGAGGAATTTTTGTTAAATGGAGTGTCCATTTTTCGTGTCAAGTATGATTAAACCAAGAGGGTTTTCATCTTGTCTTGGATCTTTGATCTTGCGAAACCATTCTTTTCAAGTATGCTTCTTGATAGAATTGTTTTAAAACTAAACTTCTTATTTTTATACTACTTCTAGTAGTTCGATTGATGAGCCTTTCCTTTGGCTTGGTGTTCGAATTTCATGATGAGTGTGTTCATGAGATCCATTGTGGGGTTTGTCCTACTTTTGTTGGATGAGTTGTGCTTTGGCATAAGCATTTTGAGATAGTGTATGTGTTGCATATCTTTGGTTGGTTATGAAGATTACTAATCAATAGTATTCCTTCATAGTTGGGCATTGTTTGCTCCTACCTTTCTTGAGTCTCTTGATAGATGACTGATCGAGTATATTGAATGGTGTCCTTGCTATTCTTAGCGTGGGTTGTTGTTTAATTCGAATCTTTCATGGATAATGTGTTCTTTGCTTGGTTTGAGTTAAGAGATAGAATCACTTAGATAAACGATCGTCTTACTGTGAATTTTCCGCACTCTTTTGAGTTTCACGGGATAGACAAAATTATCTTCGTACTTTCTTGTTGATGGTTGCATTTGGTTGAGGTTATTCAAGTAATTTTATTACCCTATTTAAGAGTTTCTTAAACTATGTGCAAAGTGTAGGACGACACTTATTTTGAAATGGAGGAAGTATATATTTACTATTGGACCTAATTACTCTAGTTACTCATGTGCTTTGTCCCCGGTTAGCTTAATTTCTAATCAATCTTGGGGTCTCCGCAATAACGCCTTATCCTGTAAAAAATCTGGAATCAGGACTTGAGATCTCTTGTAGATTGGAAGGAGAAGACGCGATGAATCAGCTTAAGTCGTTTCCATTTGGTATAAGAAGAGAAAATCAGAGGGAGCGAAATCCTTTTCACACTATGTGCAAAGATATTGATTTGGTAATTTATTTTAATTCTTTTTGTATAAAAAAAATAAAAATTGCCACCTAGATTAAATCCTATGTGGCATGAGAAATTTGATATGAGTTTTCTCTCTCCGATTTTTACTTTAGTATAATATATAGATATAAATTTTTTTTAAAAAAATTCAAATATGTAAGATGTAACTTTTTCCTGCAACCGATCTTAGAACATTTATCCCTCCCAAAAATTCAAACTACAGTTTCAATGTTGTTCTGTGAATGCCCACACATACACAATGAAAACTCACGCAAAAATCACACTAATACTCCCTCCATTTTGAATATGTGTCGTTTTAGGATTTAGTGATTTTTTTTAAACATATGTCGCTTTCACAAATCGAGACATATTTGACCACTTTTTACCAATATTACCCTTGTATTGGAAATAAAACTGTATTTATAATGAATTTCTATTGGTTTGTAATGAATTGTATAGACAATAAATAAGGATATTTTTGTATTTTAACTACATTAATTAATGTGTTCTCGGTTTTGATGATTTCTCTAGAAAGACATATAAAAAAATGGAGGGAGTAGTTTTTTCTTTTGCTATGATGGCCAAATTAACTTACTCAACGAAGTAATAGCGCGTAGATTTAAGTAGAACGTGAAAATCTACGTTCTATTAGTTTTATTAGTGTTAAATCATATGAAATATAGTAATGAGGGAGTAGTTTTTTCTTTTTTGTATGAAAACTAGGACGAAGGGAAATTTCACTCACCAACCCAAGAAGACATTTAATGCGCCGTACGTGCCTTCAAAACAGTCCTTCATGCGCTCCCAAAATTTTCTCCCAAACTTCCAAATCGAGCTATGCAAATCTTGGCCATTCAACCATAAACTATAAACTTCCAATCAAGTTTACTCAAAGCCCAGATCCATGCATGCAAGGCCAGAGAATGAGATTTGGGTGTCCAATCGGGCTTGTCCAAAGAGATATGTGACGTATGCATTGCAGCTCCTCAAACAATCTAATGCTAATGAGATTGTGCTCAAGGCTACGTGATTAACTATCCTCAAAGCAATTTCAGTTGTTGAAATACTCAAGAAATGTGTGGTGGTTCTCCAAATAAAACTGATTACAACTGATGTCCTTAAAATTTATACATTTATTATATCATTTTCTTTGAGATTTTGGCAAATATTTTGAAAGGTAAACAAGCTATTTATTTTGTTTCATTGCATTGTACATGATTAGTGTTTGATTAGAAAAAATACTAAAATTATAACTAAAATATAAATTGATGGATCAAAGAGCTCATAATTTTGATGGTTTTTGTTGATGTCATTAGTTCAAAAGAAAAGGGAATGGATTTGGCCGTTTATAGAGAGCATAAAATTTTCAAACATTTTCTTTTATTTCATTTGTTGTTGTGTCAAAATGGAAAAGGTTGACTTTCTAAACTTGAGCAAAATATATATATATATATATATATATATAAATTTTCAATTTTTCAAATGGGTTTTGGGAGGAAATGGGCCAGGCTGAAAATAGTATTGAAAATGGAAATTTCTTTAGGCTTTTGAAAAATAAAATATGTTCATTAAAACCTCCTTTTGAAGAAAAGGTAGTCTAATTTCACTAATAATTCAACTTGCAGCTGAATTTGGATTTGCTTTCTGGAAACAAAACCGACCTCTATTTAAATAATTCAGCAATCTTCAAATTCCAGAAATTCAACCGTCTGTCCTCCTTCATCCGAAAAAAAATTCCAAAAGCTCTCATCCAAGTTGATCTTCAAATAGTAGTATAAGTTGATGCCCAAGTTGATCTTTGAAGTGAAGAAATTGAAATTGATCTCTTTGCCAAAAAAGGAAGCCAAAAGGATGAAGAGTTTCAAGTTGCAATCCAAGTTGCAGCTCAAGTGGTGAGCAAGTTGATGTTTGAAGACGAAAAAATCTATTCTAATTTCTTGTGCCAGCAAAGGAACAACCAAGAAGAAGAAAATTCCAAATTGAATTTTGATTGAAAGTGGGTGATTAAAGATGTCTATAAAAGGGGTTCAATGCTTCAAGTTTTGGGA